TCGATGGGATTTGAACACCCAACCTACCACTTGGGGGGTTGACAACCTGACCACTTCACTAGGTCACCACACCCCCCTTACAATTATTTTTTAAGATTGGCTTCAAGACTTTAATAAAGAAATTATAAAAAAATATAAGAACCAAAAGATTTTATTATTGCTTAATTAATGCTCAAACCATAAAGTAGGTGACTTGGTTTTTTCAAATATTGATATTTATTTTTTACCTCCAAATACTATATCTAAAATCTAGCCAATAGACGCAGGAATTATAATGTCAATGAAAAAACATTATTGTAGTTTGTATAATAAGTGAATTCTAAATAAAATTCAAAAAAAAAAAGATATTAAAGATTTAAAAATGAATATATTATAAGCAATAAATTATATTATCAAAAGCTGAGAAGAAGTAATATCAGAAACTATTTATAACTACTGAAATTATACTAAAATCCTTCCACAAACTTCTACTATTGAATTAGTTTCTTCTTCTAATAATTATACTCCAATCTTAAGTGAACTTAATCAGGAAATTTCAATCTTTAACCTGTCTAATGTAATAACAGCAAAAGAATTTTTAAATAATTCACAAGAATAAATAATTTATAAATTCCCTGATGATAATAAGATTATTGAAGAGCTTGTTAAATTATATAAAAAATTATTCAAAACACAAATTAATGATCATAAAGAAGATGATAATAGTACAAAACCTTTAATTGTAAGTGCTAATAATGTCTTGAGATGTTTAGAAATCATTCAATCTTTTTACAATAACAAGAAGATTCTAAAGAATTATTTAAAAATATTAATGCTCTCGATAAATATATTAACTTAAAAATGATAAATATGATAAAACAATCTATCATAGATGAGTTTTTAAATTAACAATATTGTAGTATTAGATTTGTTATACTAATGCTAATTATAAAGAATCATCATACCAAGGTAATCTACTAGAATTCATGAAAATAAGTAAAATTCTTGAAGTTATAAAGCTTATTATATATACTGTAGCTTCTGAAATTCTAAGTAAAAATTTTTATAAAATATTATATAAGAATGAAAAATGTAATTAGCACTAGAACATACTAAATAAATTGAGAAATATAAAAAAAAAATATTTCTTTTTAGCATTAGTTCATATGAACATTATGAAATATAGTTGGCTAAGAGTTAGACCTTATATTGCTTTAATATTGTTTTGACTTGTGATTATGTGTCTATTATAATGTAAATCTACTGATGATCTACAAAGATTTCTTAAGTTGATCGTAATTCAACTTATAATGCCACAATACTTATAAATTTGATTTATCTCTTAGAGAAAGTAGATAAGGATTTGGTGATAAATTCTTTTATGAATTATACCTGAAACCGTGATTATATAAAGCATGTATAATTAGATTAGATTAAAAAAGATATTTAGAGAAATCAAGTTTGTAAGGTTGTGTAACTACCCGATTGGTTAATTAACGAGTATCACGTGCAGCCAATAGAATTCTTCCTTCTATAAATGCATCCCTCTATAAATACACGATTTGGCTTATTCCCAAGGGGGTGCATTTATGGAGGGTTGACTGTATTATGCGTTGACTATTTTTCCCACTTACGTAATACAGACTAACTGTCGATATAACAAATAATATCGATCATTTGAGAATATTAAATATTTTGTTCTAACTGAATATATATGTATATCTCGTGCTGAATTTCTTGTGGTAAAG